TGGAGTCTATACTCTCCTTTAGCTGACCTCTGTAGAATGTGTTTATTTTTATTATTTTTATTTTTTTGTAAGCTGTGTTTATCAAGCAAAAATCACATGGATATTTTAAATATCATACACGCATTATTTTCAGACCTCTTACTAATTTTTCTGTCAGGCATAACACCCTCTAAGAAAATGGCCACAATTAGCATTTTAAAAAGAAAAAACAGTTTTCTTAATTTGCTTGAAATACAGCATTCAAACAGCTTTGCCAGTACAACCATGAGTGAGAAACACATTCTAAGTAGTGGAATAGATCCCAGTGTCTAAATCCTGTGGTCCCATAACTCATACGTCTATTCAGATGGAGTTGACCAGCATAGTTCTAGGAACAGCCCTACTTTGGTTCTGTGTGTTTTAAGACTCAGTATGTGGCACAGATGGTTACTTGTTGCCAGCGGCCGTGCTAGCCCAGTAAACCCTTCATTCTGCCAGCAGATCTCAGAGAGATCTCACTCTTTATGAGAACTCGCAGCAACACAGGCAAGGCACCTGGCCTTACAGTGATTCTCTGAGCTGAGAGGAACCAAGTTTGCCTGAGCTAAATTCTGTTTTTCTCAGGCTCTTTATTCACTTGTCTGTTGTTACATCTAACCTAGAAACACAAATGGTTTTGAGGTCAAATGTTGGAACAGCCATTTTATTAGTCTCTACATAGGCTCTGCTAGAGCTCTCTCCATGTTTTGGAAGGAATGCACAAAGAGCAGCCTAGCATTGTGTCCGACGCTACAAAATCCCACTATGGACAGCTAATACTATTCTGCCATTGTATCTCTTATTCCAGCTTCATGTGCCATATGGATGAATCTCATCTCATTCAACCTTCTTCCTTGATGGTTTTAAGGGTTTATTTTATATCTCATTCTGTACATAAAAAGAAATATTAGTATTTGGACACTTTTTGAATGACATAGAGATGTGTCACAAGGTGAAAAACAAGGACAAATATAATAATGGCAATGTTATATATTTCTCAGAAGGAGACAACTGCAATGATTATTTCTTTCATGCTTTATTTCACAGTTAAATCAGGTAAAATGCAATGGCCTTTAATCCCTGCTGTTGCTGGGACAAACTCTTTACTCAGTGAAAAGGTTTCCGCAAGTACATTGCATCTTGAGCCAAACGTCTTGCCTCAGTGCTGGCTGGTGACTGTGGATTCTACGTGCCATTGCCTTTTCCTTACAAGTGAGATCAGTGTTTTACAGCACTGCCAAGTTCGGCAGTTTTTTAACTTCCATATAGAAGGAGGCATCTGAGCCACCGTTGTTGCTTGGCACTCCTTGTTTCTGGCAGGAGTAGCTCTCTGCTTGCGATGTTCCTGGCCCAGATCTCTCTCAATGAAATCACTGGCAGATTTCCCACCACCTTAAGTAAGAACAGAATCGGACCAGAAGATGCATGTGCCTCTCTCATCGTGCTGCAGCAGCAAGTGGTCACGATTGCTATCTGGCAATTCAACCTGAGGGGCTGGTGACATCTCAGAGTGAGTAGATTACATTAACACTCAAAGGCATATTTACAACGTCAAAAAAGATAATGTCTTACCGAAGGGAAATAATACGTGGCAAAAAATCTATATCAGCTGTCTTAAAGGACTTCTTCTTGGATTCAGGTCAATTAATTACACAGGAAAGAAAAATAACCAAAAATGAAACATTCCCCACTTGCTGACCAAACACAAAAACAGGACATAAAAAATTGCTACAAGTATCAAAAGAACATATTATGTTGAGACTATTTCCCCTAAAACTTACCAGTGCCATTCATTTCCCTGAACATCTCTCGGCAAGAGAACAGCCCAAAAGGAAAATCATTAAAACACATTGTCAATTTTTGCACATGTTTTAGAAAGGTTTTTCTTTCCATTCTCAGCATGACGGGTATTGAACATTTCTGAAACTGCAGCAAAGAAAACTTTTCATAAAATCTTAGAACATGGAAGGGAAAAGAGAAGCTCTGTTCAGAAGCAGCAGGTACCGTTTCTAGCCCAGCACCCGGACTGAAGGTAGCTGCTTTTCAAACTTAGCAATGGAACAATTAATAAAGGAACCCATTAAGGTCTGATTGTTGCTGCTAAAAAGGGAGGTTGAATTTCAGTCCTTTGAAGTAACTGAGAATGATTCAGGCCTCATTACAGAGATATAATCTACATTCATACATTTATGTTAGTGATTCAAATCTATTGGGACAGATTGAATTCCGTTAAATAGTGCATCTTTCCTGTGGAACTGTTCTCAGGCTTTCTCAGGCTAACCCAAGAGGTGACCCAACAATACAAAGTAGTGGGGTATTTAGGGATTCAACTGTGCTGCAAAAGAAAGACTATACAGAAAGGAGAAAAAAGAATGAGATATAATCTAAAAAGCTATGTCAGCTTTTCATTGGGACTCTGTTTTTTAAATTCCCTCCCTGTCATCACGCAGGGTAGAAAAGGACTATGAACTGTATGTGCAGAACACTGTGCTGAATACTGCACTTGCCAGAAGCAGGTATGCAGTTTTGTACTTAACCACAAGATCTTAAAATCAACAACTAAGGTAGATATAGGTATAAGCAGAACTATTTTTGAGTAAAATTCAAGAGAGTGCCCATTTTTGAAAGGAAGGGTGTTAAATATATCTGTTTGACCCTTACACTGCTATTTTCTCTAGCCAAAAGAGATCCTGAAATGCCAGTTCCTCGCATTTTTCAGCATTTGACAAGAAAACGAACAAAAATGGAAGGCTTCATCTAACGTATAATTTAAGACATTGCGATGATTAATTACTATTTAAACTGTCGGAATCAAAAGAACATCGGTTTCAGAGATGGTAAGCTATACCCAGGACAGCAAGTGAACACTGACTGTAATTCCCCAGACACTCTCCAAGGAGAAGGCTTTTCCTTTTCATTTTGGTTTTATTTCTTTTTTCATTAAATGCTACAAAAGAATAGCCTAAGACAGAATCACAAAAATTTTCTGACGTGTTCTGCACTTAGTGCAAATACGTGCAGAATAAATACTCCAAAGAACCATAAACAACATCATAAAACATATTGATTCTAACATTAAATGGTTTCATTTTTAAGGCTGTTTAAATGTCACCCCCAGAAGCTGAGAACATAAATTAAAGAGCTAACTCTCTCCAGAATAAACACCATAATTGGAGAAAATCATTTCTAATTTCTGTTGTGAAGCTAACAATATATTTAACATCCTAATCTAATGAATCAGTCTAATTTTAGAACTATTTGTTCTTTTCTACATTTTCTGTTCCTTAAATGAAGATTGACTCCAAATGCCACATGTAATTGCATAGGCGGTTTTCCACTGCATCCCACTGATCTGCATTATTAAACTGCCTCTATTTCACAAAAGTTCTGGTTTTACATATCAAGGAACTCACTGTGTTTCTCTAGCAGCTCACTTCTCCACTGCTCTGTGCCCCTAGTTCCACCTACTTGCATTCCAGGACAATTATTTTACAATACTAAATATTGAACCAACACTCAACGTCTAGCAATGCTTGCCCATATCCTGTCAGATCCCTATCCTGCAGTATGGTGTTAAAAGATAGTACATCATATGGAAGACGCCTGTTAATTACTTGGAAGGCTGACAGTTTGGTGACGGGATAGAAATATGAATCTGTCATAACATCCAGTTTGTGAAATGACAAATCCATTAGGAGAGACAGAATCAAAGGAGAAAAACAACAACATATGCCTGTTCGGGAAAATAATAGCTTGAAAAATCGCTTTAAAATAGCTTTGGAAATGGAATATTTGTTTCTTTCTGGCAAAGGAAGCTGCTTTAATAAAATAATAATATTAAAGAAGAGAGAGAAAAGCATTCAGACAGATTTTATGGGGGAAACCTTTGCCATCCCAATAAAGCCCCTTTTGCTTTGAAGTCATACGCGTGATTCAGTAAATGACTCATGTTAGCAATTAGAAAATGGTCATTTAGGGCCCCGATTTCTTTTGAGACAAGGAGGGTGAGGGTGGGGAAAGAGACACAATAAATCTTGAGAGGCTTAAAAGGAAGAGCAGGCTAAAGTGTGAACTTTTTATTTCAGCAACGGAAGTGAGAAATCAGTGATTCATTAAAGGAGGGAGAAAGACCTCCATGGAAGCTGGCAAAGAAGAAGGAAAAGGAGCTAATTATGTCTCTTCCCCTTTTTACTCTCTCCGACCAGCATATAATCTCCTCTCGCAGGGTCTGCTTGCAGCATGTACTTCTTCCCAACCTTTCCACCCAACCCCTCCTCCAGCAGGGGGGAGGGGGAGGTCTAGCAGGCAACAAGCTCCAGGTGGCTTTCTCAACCGCTCCGCTGCCAAAAAAATAAAATAAAATCCTCCGCTAGAAAACAAGTTTCTTTTTCTTTTTTCTTTTTTTTTTTTTTTTTTTTTTTTTTTTTTGGCTGGTGCGGGGGGAGCCTCCCTGGAGGGGATTGGTTCAGCCTGCAAGACAGGGAAATTAGTAAGGCATGAGTCTCCAAGCCATGCTGGTGGCCAGCACTCCGAGGAGCGGAGCGCTTTAGGACCAATTAGCAGCGAGCCGAAGGCGGCGGCGGCGGCTGCCGCTGCAGCCCGGGAGGAAGCGAGGGCAGCTCCTGGGGCTCCCTCCGCAGCAGGCACTGCTCGCTCCAACTGCAAACGGGTTTCAGATGTCCCACCGCTGCTTGACCTCCTGCAAATAAGGGTTGACCACCAGAGGCACATCCCACCTCTGATTTGTAATCGCTGACATTTAGGCTACAGCTTCCAACCTGTTTACAACCGAAGGGGAGGGAAAGGAAAGGAAGGGAAGGGAAGAGGGGGTGGGGGGAAGAGACAAGTTGGGATTTTTTCCTCTCTTTCTCTCTCTCTGGGTTTTCTTTCTGTTTTGTTGTTTGTTTTTTGTTGTTGTTGTTGGGGGTTTTTTTGTTTGTTTTTTTTTTGTGTGTGTGTGTGTTTTGTTTTTTTTGTTGTTGTTGTTTTTTTGCTTTTTTTTTTTTTTTAATACTGTGCTGGAGAACTCAAGGCAAAACAAAGAAACTGCCTCCTCTGGGGTTGTCAGTGAGAAAGGACGAGTTGTGCAACTGGTTTGGGATTTCCAAGAGGGCGAGGGGGTGGGAATCAGAAGAAGGTGCAAAGCCACAAAGTGTGAGTGCAAGTGTGTGTGTAAGGGGGTATGTGTGAAAAATCCCTTCCAGCACCCCTTTCCACTGGTTTTTATTTATTGTTGTTGTTGTTCATTCTGCTGTCATCTATTTTTCAGACCTTTCTGCATCTAAGATGGTGAAGAAAGGAGTGAGGAAGAGAGCAAAATAACTACTGGGAAGTCTCAAATCAGGTTGGGGGGGGGGGGGGGGGGGGGGGGGGGGGGGGGGGGGGGGGGGGGGGAGGGGAAGAGAAAAAGGAAAGAGGATTAACCACAGCAACCCCCCCAAAACACCAACAGCTCTTTTTTCTGAGGGAGGACTCGAAGGATTAAAAGGCAGCAACTTCTGAGGCGATCTGTCCCCTGAGTTATGGATGTTGGTGCACTTACTTCAGGCCAGATCAGAGCTCAGAGGGATCTAACCAGAAGCAGCAACCACCGGCTCTCCACTTGCCTTTTACCAGGTTTTACCCATCCAGTATGTTTCTTTTGATAAGACATTTTCCAGCGCCCAGAGTTTCAGTACAATGTGCAAATGGATACTGACAAATGGTGCCTCAGCCTTTTCCCACCTGCCTTGTTGCTGCTTGCTGCTGCTCTTCTTGGTGTCTTCTGTGCCTGTCACCTGCCATGACCTCGGCCAGGACATGCTGTCCCCGGAGGCCACCAACTCTTCTTCTTCATCATCCTCCTCCTTCCCCTCGTCCTTCTCCTCTCCTTCCAGTGCGGGGAGACACGTGCGGAGCTACAATCACCTCCAAGGAGACGTGCGCAAGAGGAAGCTCTACTCTTACAACAAATACTTTCTCAAGATCGAGAAGAACGGCAAGGTCAGCGGCACCAAGAAGGAGAACTGCCCCTTCAGTAAGTACGGCTCCGCCACGCCGCGGCTCAAGCGCCGCGCCCGCACCGCGGCAGCCCCGGCCCGGGAGGGAGCGGGGCAGGGGGCGCGGGGGGGCTGTTCGGGGTGGGCTCCTCCGGGAGCTGCCGCCGGCACGGGCGCGCAGATCTCCCCGGCCGCGTTTGTTTTGCAAACGGCTTCGCCGAGCACAGTTTGTTTCTCTGCCTGGCAGAAGAGCAAATTAGAAAGATTTGTGAGGATGTGGCGCGGAGCGTGTGTAGGGGGGAAGCATTGTCTCCCGAATATGAAAATCATTATCCCCTGTCATTAACGCGCCTTGACGAGAACGCTCTATTAAAACAATGCACCGATTTCCCCCACACACGCACTCCGCACCGCACCGGGCCCCCCCCCCGCGCCGCACCGGGGCCGTCCGCCCCGCGCTCCCCCCGGGCAGGGGCTCCTCGGGCGGCAGCGCCGGAGCCGGAGCGCTGCATGGCGAGCGGCTGCGGCGGGACCGCGCGGACCTCACACGCATCTCATTGTCAGTCTCTGCCCGGAGAGAAACGGTTTCAAAGTAAAAGTCGTGCGGCTGTTCCCATGGCTGTGCTTTCGAGATTTTCTGCAGGACTAATTAGGTTTTTACTAATAGCGTGCTTCTGGTAATGTATTTCTGGCTGTCAGTGCTGGAAATGTAACCTTCATTCGGTTTTCTTGCCTGTGCAGTCTCAAACTGAAGCAACTGTAGTAAATCACAATATATTGCATAGTAACTCTTTCAATGACTGCATACCGCTTCAGGAGCATGCTGAAGAAGTCAGCTCTGTTTTGTGAGTTTTGGGCTCCAGTGTTGGAACACCACTCCTTGGTTGGTCATGGGGTTGTTCTTCATAAATCCAGAGAAACCTGGGGATAAATCTGTTAAATTAAAACAACTTGAGGAGCTTAAGTAGCTCTCTGGCTAGCTAATGTGTCAAGTACAGAGTACTTCAGCAGGTTGCCCTTCTGTAGGACAGCCATCGCGTTTAATTCTGCTGTATTTCTATTAAATACCCATAATGTAGGCATAGAAGTAGGAAGGAGAAAGCTGATGTATCATGTCACTGCCTCTTTTGCTCCACCTTGCAATTTTGTACTTTATCATGCGCTTAATGTTTGAAAAGGCTTTAGATGTCAAGGCAGCTGTGTCTTACCACCTCCCTTTTGTATTTCATAGAAAGCCAAATTCTTGAAAAACAGAGCTTCACTGAACACTTCTACAAGTTTGTTTAGAACCAGGTCTTAGAAGCATATCTCTTAGATCATTGCTTTTTGTAGAGGACAGCGTGATTCCCCAAATATGGGATTCTGAAATCTTTGTGTGCATCTCTGCAAACACAAAGCCATGCTGCATAGAACACTGCTGCAGCGCGGTCTGCGGGGAGCCCAACCTGACAACAGTGTGTTCAGAGAGGTAAATGCTCTTCTAAGTAGCCACACTGAGCCAGCAGAGCCGTTCAATGAGTAAAGCTGCAAACACTCATGAGTTCCTGTGAGATATCACCAGTAAGGGGAAGAATAAACCAAAGTGCGTATATACATATTTCTACTTTCAGTCTGCATGCAAAAAACAACTCTATGTAACTGCGGAATATGATTGGATTTCCTAGTTTCCAATCAATGCGTCAGAAAGAAAACTAACATTCTTGGAGATGTCATGGTTATTTTTTTTCACATCTGCAGAGCATCTACTGAAAGAGAGAAGAATGTATTCCATATAAATGCAAACCAATCGCTGTGTTATACGTAGTTGTATCGTGTCTCTCAAATTCACATGCCGTGAAGAAGGGACTCCTGTTGTCCTACAGCATGCAGTTGGCAAACCCACTTGCAACACGTTATGTATAACATACTTCAGCAAAGTACAGGTTGGCTTCTGATAGCAGAAGACAGGTCAAACAGTTGTATCATCTTACTCTTTTAATACTTACAGTAATTTGCAGTGTGAAATTGTGTTTTCTGTAAAAGCACATGGACTGAGACCCTTTATCTGGATCTTAATTTCATGTCTGTGCAGTAAAATGTTGCAAGTGACTCAAAATCTCTACCTATCAGTATCTCCTGTAGCTGTGTAATCAGAATGCCACAATGCCACCACAATTCCCAGCCAGGCTGATTCCATGCAGATGTGTGGTATCATTAAGATAATCTAAAAATGTGTGATTACATGTGAATAAATTTCTGCAATGCATAAAGGGTTGGCCAGGCAGCTCCCTGAACTGGAGCCTACTCAGCGTCAAAGGCTATTTAATCCCTAATAGGAACTCCTCCTTCAATACACTGCTTCCCTAGACTTGTAATAGTGACTATTGGAACGCAAGACTGTGCTTGAAATTTAATTTGGGGGCTGATTTTCTCTTACACTTATGTTTAGAATCCATTTATGCTGACACGAAGCCTTATCTGCAGCGCTCTAAGATCATGATATGCAGTGTAATTAGGCAACAGCTTTCATGGCTGTCTGCCAGTTAAGCACTGTCAAGTAAGAAGAACAGTTGGAGAAAGTCAGAATAAACACAGAATATAGTTCTGAGCCTTTAAAATTGTTCAAGAAGCATTAGTAGCTCTGCTGTGTAAGTATTGCATAGAGTGCACTAAATAAAAGTTTACTTTGGCAGATGCTTTCCAGCTTGATTGCCTGGAAATCTTCCATCAGCCTTTCTCTACCTATAGGGCAGCAGGAACAGAGGTGGCTGCTGACAACGCTGTCAGGAGGTTGGAGGAAGCGGCATACAGCAGAGCTGGAGTGTGTTTGTCAGTAGATACAAGCAGGACCCTTTACAGATTTTGTTCTATTGATCCTTGTAGCCAAAGCTTGGTCTTTGAAATGCAACAGCTTAGTACTAAAGTACTCATCCCTCAGCACCACAGCTGTCAAGACCTTGCCCATTTTTGTGGGGACCTTTGCATGCATGAACCAGGGCAGCTGGTAGGCAGCTGTACAGCTTTCTGGAGATTGAAATATTTGGGGGGGGGGGGGGGGAACAAATCCCAAAACTCTCCAATGAGTAGTCAAAATGCTTTTGCTGCAACCTGATATCTGGGATGACCAACAGGATCTTTAGCCTTACGTGAAAATGGAGAGAGCTGCACATGTCCAGATTCAGACCTCTCCTCCGTCTGGAAAGAGGGAGGAAGTCTTTGGGTTTGAAGGGCAGCAGGCATTGGGGCCACATGACATAAACCAGCACAGGAAAACTTCAACATATTTTTGAGTAATATGCTATTTTTAATTGACTTTTAAGGCAACTGTAAACAGTACTATGAAGCTTGTGACCTTCCCATTTACAGCACAGACCTTAGTTGAAGAATGGTGATGCAGTACGTGATGCTTAATTAGCAGCAGCTAACTTCCAGTCTGCAGCGTGAGTTGTGCCCGAGCGAGGACTGCAGGACGAGGCCTTTAGGTAGATGTGTGATTTGGGAGCAGAGGCTGCGTAGCCGAGGCTGCATCTCAGTGGGAAGAATTACCGGAACGGTTCCTGCGGACCAAGCGGTGCTATGCAAAGCCTACGGTAGGTGGCGGCACAGCCGCTGCCTGGTGCCACCTCTGCCGGACGAGGCAGGAGGGAAAGGATTGAGTTCTCAACTCCGGTCGCTGATTTAGCTCAAGCAAAGCTAGAAGGGCTTACACCACCCGACAGGTTATTATTTGGCTCTCTGAGAGCTTCCAAAATGGATTAAACCAAACAGTGCAAAGACGCTGCGAGTGCAGAGTAAGAGCATTCCCAGGGAGAGCTAGCATGAAATAATTAGCTACTGCTCACAGGCTAATCTGTTCCAGGCTTTTTCCCTGAGTATGCAATTATCTTTTATGTACAGCTTTAGGATCTCCTGATGTTCCTAATGGTCTTTTGTTTTGCTTTAGTTATTGGGGGTTTGGGTCAGCAACGTAGTGAATAACGGCTAGAAATAGCAGAGACTCATTCTGCAGCCCGTAAGATCTAATTGCTGAGTACACTGATCATCAGTGTTGGAGGTTTTAAGGGTGCACAATGCATAAAAACACATAATGCCAAATAATGATTTACATACACACAGATAGCATTAAATAGTTCTGATTAAGCATACTCAACTTGATAGTTGGTTTATTTTTGTGGTTGTTGTTGTTTGTTTGTTTGTTTTTTGTATACCTCAAACCTTTGTAGGTACAATAATCTCAGATATGCTGCTTGAAGCGGATTAGATTAGTCAGTAAAATATGCTATTTTCCTACCACAGTTGTTCAGGCTAGCTGTTTGGGGCTATCGACTCCTCACAAACTACTGCTTCCAAATTAATGTGAGAAATTTTATCCATTTTTTTTTTTCTAAAGAAGGTTAGTAGCCATGCGTTTTATTGCTCTACTTCTTTTAGAGACTCTTTATTTTGCTATGAATTAAAAATGTTTCAAATAGGAAATAGTGATGTCTCACTGAAGTAATTGAATCTTCTTGTTTGTTTGTTTGTTTTGTTTTCAAATGTGAAATTTATGTTTTTATGGAGATGATTTCTCAATTTAAGTCACTCTCTTCTCCCTCCCCCACCCCCCCCCAGAACTCAGTTACAAAATTTATATCTGGCAGTGTACAACCTTAGGCACTTACGATTTATGAATGTGGATATTTAATGTCTACATGACACTCTCCTGTTAGCCTTGCTGCATTCCTGCCTTGCGGACCCGACCCTCCGTGCTGATACTGTAGCCCTATCATAAATCTGTTCAGAATACACAGGTGCAAGAAGGCTTTTTGTCTTCATAAATCGAACCTGTAACTATGTGACAAAAACAAAAGAGTTAGGGGCAGTGGAAAGTTTGTTCTTCTTAAAACCTCAGAAGAGTGAGAGCAAGAGGCATGGCTCAGAAAGGGAGTGCTGCTGTTCTGGTGGGGGGATTCTCAGGTATGGCATGGTCAGAACTTCCCTTGAAGGCAGCCTTAGCTCAGTGAGCTCCCTAGAATATGCTCACTCTTTTGAAACATCTTGGATGCATTCATTCATAGGA